ATGCAACTCAACTCTGCACTGAGGTAAAACACTCGCCAATTAGTCCAATCATGTCAGCAAGGCTTTAAGCTCTATTTTTTCCATGTATTAATATGGGCTTAAGCAGTGACTTGTCATTCTAGGCTGTCTGGGAGAGGAATGTTTTCACAAACACATTCTCTTTTTTTAAAAGATTTTATCCATGCGAATTTTCCACCTATAAGAGGTGAGGACAGGCAAAAGCCAAGAGACACTGAACAGGTAAGAGCCAAACCTCCTCTGCCAAGAGACTGCCTGGAAGAACAAGTTGATCGAATCAAGTCTCCTTGGCCTACTCAAGTCTTCATGAATGAACAGGGTCAATTGGTGTCCTTACTGGTGCTGGACTATGGTATGGTAGACTTTAACCTCATTTTATACAAGTCATAGCAGATGGTGGCACTTGTTACTGGCCTGGCTGGAAATTAATCTGTGGCTCAATGGAGTGACATAAGGTTCTGCCCCCGTTTGTCCCCTGCTTTGGCCAAGGCTGTTTATACCTTTAATCAGTAATAAAAGGTGCTGTTCAGCTCAACACATCTACCTAGCAGGACAGTCAATACACATATGTAGCACCAGAAAGCTCCCCAGGAACTCAAGCAAGCTCCAAACAGGTACGCTAGCCCCGCTGCTGAGGAAGAGCACTTTGTGCATAGTCTTGCCTACAAGCCTGTCTCAGGTAGTCCAATAAAGGAAGATATCACCATAAAAACCCTCGATTCCAAATACAAAGGCTATTTCCTCTCGGATTGAGCCTTCTACCCTTATGCTCCAAAATTTGAGGCCACAGCATTGTTTAAGTTTCAGAAAATAAGCTGACGTCTGCCTCGCAGCCTCTTCACAAAGCATCTACAGTGGCTTTCAACACCTTGTCGAGTGACACAGACCCTTCACCCCAGCCAAAAAGCACTTTCCTCTTCTGTTTGCCTTTTTGAGAAGTTGTCCCCTTTGCCAAACTCATCTCAGAAGCACAATATGAGCATGGAGCAAGGTAACTAGCTGCTGCCACAAAAAAACCATGGTGATCTTGGAAAACTCCCAGTAGTTTCAACTACACATGACAGCTGCTGGACCTCCTCGGGACTAAAAGCCTCGTACTTCAGCTCATGCCTACTCTCATTATACTCATAGTGTCTGTACATGGGACATGGGGTAGCCAAGATACTCCCACAAGAGGGTTACAGTTACTCAAGTCACAAGTCCCAGTAAGACAACTCTAGCTCAGCTGCTGCTTCTCCTTTCCCTTCCTGGGAGCCAGGACAAAGGAAAGTCTTTGAGGGACCTTGAGCTCTACATCCAGAGCTTGGCTGAATCCGAAGTTGGGGAGTTTTCCCAATTATTGTCCTAAAAAAAAACATCACTACCCTTGAACTGAAGAGACTTTCAACAGGAGTATCCCACTCCCTCACCCATCATCAGCCACTGAAAGACCCTCACCAATTTAAATGGCAACTGGGATCAGGCCCCAAAAACAGTGTGGTAGCTGCTGAACAATCCCCACCTCATCTTCCTTCTTACCCTGATGGGCTGGGAGAACTGCTGTAGGGGGGTGAAGGAGACGGAGTCCTTCCCTGACTTTCCAAGCCTGCAGAAGTCACAAGGGAGCTCCTGGAAAAGGGGAGAAAGCAGCCATCCAGTTAGAGCCCGTAGTACACAGCCCCACAGGAGACTCTCTTCCCCTCACATAAGACTGAGCATAAAGTTAACTGCAGAGGTCCCTTCCCCCAGCCAGTGGCACTGTCAAGGTCATCTCCCTGCAAACTTATGGTCCAACATTCAGGTGCCACATGCTGACGGTGCTGTATACAGGTGGTTAAGCCAGTCACAGGCAGGGTAGGTGCCCAATTCCCCCTTTACACCACCGGGCCCTTGCAAAGGGACCTTAAAGAAGGTGAAACTGTAATTTACCTCTACTGTAAAGGGTTTTAAACCAGCATCAGATCTAGGAATCGTGTGTACATCCACATACATGCGCGCATGATATATTTTCAGAGGAACTGGTGGCTGCTTTTAACCACTCTTCCTACCCCGAGGAACCCAGCGCAACTTTACTGCCAAGTTTCCCCCCAGTGCTTTTCAGTCAGCCCATCTGAAAGAGTGGACTGTGGCTGGACAAAATAACTAACAAAAATGGACAGCAGTATCTGCTGCACGCCTGCCCAAAAGCAGTACTTATCTGCCTTTGCCCTGCCTGGCACCTTTCACACCCGGATTTGAAAGGCTTGGCAAAGGGGGTGGATACCAACTGCCCCATTTTACACCTTGAGCAACTGAGGTGCAGGAAAAACTGAGGGACTTGCCCAGAGTGACCCTGTGACAGAACCTAGAAGTGAATCTAGGTTTCTTAAGTCTCAGGGCTGTAGAGCAAGCAGGACCAAACATGGTGTCCTCGAGAGATGGCTGAGGAAGGAGAACGGGGTGTTGCTGCATGGAAAGATGCACTCCGTTGTTTTCTTAAGATAAAGATGGTCTCCCTTGCCCCCACAGCTTCTCTACAGAACCAGCCCTCCCTGGCAGGGGAATAGCGAAAGGGAAGGGGACTGGCCATGCACCACAACAAGTCTGTCGACACTGGATGTGGGCAGGAGAAAGGGGAGTGATACAGCTTCACCCGACAGAGGGAAAAGCAGCTCACCAGCAAGCTGGGCTGGGTTCCAAGTCTGATGCTGGGACACTGCAGATGCCGCCCCTTCCTACTTGCTCTCTACAGGTCTTTGAAATGCTTCATCCCAAAAGCCAGGAATATTTTAAGGGTTTCTCCTACGCTCCAAATACAACTAGATGTGAGGACTTGGTTCCGATCTGCGCCCTAAACACAGCATAGATGAGGACCTTAACCTTTCTCCAGGCAGAGACGACAATGCAAACTGGAAATGTGCTGCAACTCGGTCACTAATGCAGCCATCTTTCAGGTGAAGAGATGGCCTTGTATATGAAGTGGGCTGAGAGTAATACCCCTTCCACCCCCCAAACTCCAACAGTGCTCTACGGAAAGCCGTGCAGAGACAGGACAATCTAGTCCTTATAGCTCTTACCCACTGTACATCAGGCTGTCTTGGATGGGTTTCCCTCCAGCAGCCTCAGCAGTTATATCACCTGAAGATCAAGGAAGAGCAGAAATGGATTAGGTTTGACGTCACGTTTATAAAAGCCTTTATACATTCAGAATATTTGGATTTCGAAATGAAGCCTCTTGATTCACCAAGACTAAGAGGCGCTTTGATACTGAGAAGCATTAAAGAGCCTTGTTTTGTTGAACCTATGCAGACAGCAGCTGGTTTAATTCTGTTACTGCTACTGCTGATCCACACGGCCTCAGGCCCTGGCCTGACAGCGAGGCACTTCTGGAAAGAGGCAGAGCTTGATGCGTTGTTTTTGAGGAGACACACATGCCCCTTGATGCAAGCAGTGAATTTTGTAAACACAGCGCTATGTTTTGCCCGTCACGCTCAGGCACATATATGCTGTTGGTGGCAAAATGCCAAAATGACCACGTGAGCTGGCAGCTGGATACACAAAAGAGCCTGCCTTTGCCAAATGCTCAAAATGCTGGAAGCCCAATGTCAGAAGTTAGCACGTGGTTCCTAACACTGTTACTGAGGAAAGTCAAAGCAACACAGAGCTCTTGCTTCATACCAAAACAACATGCTTGGACACATGCCTTGGAGCCCATCCTGCCTTCCTAGTCCATGGGAAAGTTCACGTTAATGGGAATGACGTGAGAGGGGCAGAGCCCAGAGTTTACACATTCACCAAAGCACCTTAAAGATGCATTTAACTTTAAAGAACAGCCTTCCTAGCATCACCAAGCAGGGGCTGACTTGAGCACACACTTAAAAGACAAGGCAAAATTGGGGTCCTGTTTGCTATGCACCTGTATGTAGATGAACACACTCACTGGTCCAAGCGGTAGACAGAGTGTATACATGTGCCACTGAGAGAAAAAACAAAAACAAAAAAAACTCAGGACCCAATTTAAGAGCAGTCCCATTTTAAACACAAATATGGTGTATAAACTTAAAAAAAAATCCAGCAAAATCTAGACTCCAGATGAAATCCCGACTTGGACTGTGCTACACTAGAAAACTGGTGGCCTGAAAATAGTTTCTGTATAAGCCAAGAGTTTACCTGTAAACCTATCTTCTCTTTTGCCTGCCTAGATTTGCACCATTCAAATCTCAGTGTGCATCTAAGTCCCGAAACATCCCTTGTTCTCCAATCCCGCCTCGAAAGCAAGTTCATTACAGAATGCATCACAACACAAAAATCAGCAAGCCAGATGTTTCCTCAGGCTTGGGAACCCAAACGTTCCCACTACACAGTCAAAATGTACAGATCTATCAGCATTTTGGCTTTCCAGAGATAGTTGCCAATGCATACAAATCCCCACTTCTGTGCGGTCCCTAAACACACTTCAAAGAGCTTGGCTTACTTGGGAATTGTGCTGGGACCATAACAAAATCATCGGTGTCGCAGGAAGAATTCTTGCTGCTGCTTCCAGCAGAGTCCTTAGATCCGTGCAGAAAGCCAGGGGAATCCTGGGTAGGAGACGCCAGAGCTTTCTCCTGCAGCTGCTGCATCTCTCCAAGGGACTGCTTAAAGCAAAGGAAACAAACACTGGCTTTAATGGAGCTAGTTCATCATTCTGCTGAAGTCCCTAAATTAAGTTGTACAAGGCTTCAGACAAGATTCTGCTGATAAAATAGAGGCTGCCAACTTGCCAGAAACAGCTGCTTTCTTTACCAAGTGAAAAAGAGTAGCCCTTTGAAAGCCAACTCCAAAAAGGCAGAACAGTGCATCTTTTGTTCGACCAAACGTGGTACTGGCATGTCAAATGCATCCCAGATAAGAATAGTTTCCCTGAGGTATTGCACTGTTCTGCTTAGGTCCTCCTGGTGGAACCACTCTTTTCCACAGAAGGATTTCAATGCGAACTACGAACAGAGGGACGCTTTTAGGTTTTTCTGCTCATCCATGATTGATACCCTTTCATCCCACTGCAGTAAAAAGATCTCAGGAATACACATATGTAGGATTATTAGCTGTACCCTCAACAAGACAAGCATGGCTGTCCTGTTGCAATGGATGGCCGTCAGTGTTGTCTGGGATGGTGACGACACAGAACAGCTTGCAGACCATCTGCCAGGACAGGCGAGAGCATGCACAAGCTGCATCTTGCCCTCGTTGACCAAAAAGGGAAAGCTTGGCAGAGCGCTGATGCTTTACGGGTTTGGGGACGGAGGAGAAAGATTGAGAGTTTAAAAAGGACTGTTCTGACCCCTGTCTTGGGTGAGCATTATTCTTCATCCTGCTGCTGTTTCAGTAGGATGACAGACAGAGCTCCCCATGAGGTTTAGTTTAAAAGTGATTTCCATCTGGGGGCCTAGACGAAGACCCGTACATTTAATGAATGAGCTCAGTGGTCTGGCCGTGTCAGTACCATGCCAGGGGCAGCCTCTGAGTTTCTGATGTTGAGAGGCAGAAGGGGCAGCTATAACACGACGCTCTAACTAGTTCCTGGAAGACAGTCCACAAAGCCAATGGTGACAAGTGTTGGAGTCAGAAAGCCCCTTCCTATCTGAGAGCAGGGACTTAGAGGGAGAGGAGAAATCATCTTGGATAAAGTTCAAAGGAGCTGGAGAGCAAAGAGCCCTCTCTTTCAGATCAGACCACCCACCCAAGCTCCTAGGGTGGCTTAGGGCAGTACTTTCCAAGCCTTTCCCATTCCAGGGCCATTTTTTCCAGGCCAGCAAGAGTCTCCCCTGCCATGAAACTCTTCTCATGTAGCAACGTGCAAAGAATAAGAAGGTCAAAACACTGGGCTACCTGATGGGAATGCTCCCCTAGGGATGCCAGGATAAGGCTGCCCTAGGAACACCAGGCGTTACATAAATAAGGAAAGCAATACTGCCAAGTAGTCAAACCAGCCCCCCGGCCCCCGTTGCTCCAGCATTCTTCGGCACAGAGAAGTTCAAAAGGCAGCTTTCACCAAGACCCTTTGAAATAAGCTTCCAGCTCAGCAAGCAGAAGGAATGTCACATTAGCGGCAAGTTAATATTCAGCCCTTCAGGAGGGTTTTCATCATTCAGGTATCAGGGGGGATCAGATCAGCAGACTCAAGACCACTCAACTGGGCCAGGTCTGGGCCTGAGCAGACATCTTCGGTGAACATGCTTCCGAGTGGCTTCACTTTGCATGACAGGGGGGGCTCTGCCACCAACCCGCAGGGAACTGGCCCAAAAAGCAAAGAGCTTGCAGTCAGAGTCAGCACCAGACACCGATTTAATGACAGATTTGGGTTTCTAGGAGTTTCACAGCTCTGTTGATACCTCCTGGCATCATTAATGCGAGCCTCTTTCCCTCAAGGCCCTGAAACATTCCCAGAAATAAGTTCACCAGGGGATCCAAACACGTAGCTCAAACCAAGCACAGACTGGACTACCAGGTGTTTGCTTTTTCGGCAACAGCCACAAAAGCAAGAGAAGGCATTTCAAACTATCCAGGGAGGCGACAAAAGCAGAAAGCAGCCGGGAGACAACATACGCCAGGCAGAATCTTCCACAAAAACAGTATTGCAGCCTTCTGGGTCCTACTCACCGGAGGCGAGGCCAGGTGGGAAGTAGAGGAGCTGCTGGAGGAGCTGCCCGAGCCAGAGCTTGGATAAGAAGGCATTGGCACAGAAGCAGCTGGAAAGAGAAAGAAATACCGTCAGACTCGGACCAGCCAACAATGCTGCCATTGAAAGGGCAGTTGCAGTCGTCTTTTTCCAACAGATTTGCCTCACAGACCAGATGATGCCACTTCCCCAAGGGAAAGCCAACCTTCTGCCCAGCTTAAATGGGAAGGATCTGCCTCCCACCACGTGCTTTGACATGACCATTTCACAGCTGCTATTTGTAATAGACCAGTAATAGCTCCTACAGGCCTGGCTTGAGGTTGGAGAGCTACAGTGCTGGAAGCTGCACACATGCATAACAGACCACCCTGGCCCTGCAGAGCTTAACAGTTAGTCCCTGGGGAAGATGAGAAGATGGCGAAACAAAGCGACTTGACCAAGGTCCAAGAACAGGTTAGTGGCAGAGGCAGGAACAGAACCTGGATCTCATGTATCCCCATCTAGTACCCAAACTACACAGCCTCTCCAGACATTTAGCCAGTCTGTGCTAAATTGAAAACACACTTACTACACACACCTACTTACCTCCTCCAAACTATCCGACTCCTTATCTGCTACTCCTCTTTGGGGCCAGATTGTTACCGACACAATCAGGGCACCATTTCACTGTGCATTTATCAGACATTAGTGCCATAGCATTAACCTCAAGTTACCAGGTAGGAAAGCATGTTATTGAAGAGGCATTATGCAACCGGCTCCCATCACTGGCGTATTAGTGTTAAGCCCATGCTGGAAGCTCTTGTCGGATAGCAATGGCCTGCAGGGAGAAAGGCCAATCAAGGCACCATGGGGGGGATAACAATTCACTTCAGTGGCATTTAGTAAGTAACTAAGGAGCTCAATTCAGCTAGAGAGCAGGACAAATTCAGTTCAACACTTGAATTCACTGCACCCTACCTAAAGCTTGGGGTTTAGAGAGGATGGCAGGCATTTGAAATGTTTAGAATGAGCCCAATAGCAAAGAGCTATGCAAGAAGGTGGTCATTTCACTTCTCTTCTCCCCTTACCTGAAGTCAGAGAAGTAAAGCCCTGCACTATATTTCTAGGATCACTGGGCAGGATTGGGCGCAGTGACTTCAGGCGGAGGACAAGGCTGATGGAAAACAAAGTTTCCTGCATAAAGTAAAATTTCTAACGCTTGCAGCATACTACAACGAAGCAACCTTCATTTCTTTAACCGTTAGAACAATGTTTCAATGATTAAGCAAATTGGACAACATGCCTTAGGGTAAGAAGCCCATTAACTTAGCTAGCTGGCTTACCTAAGGGAAGGTTAAGAGAGGGACTGGATCACAGTCACTGTGCACCTAGATATGAAACAGAAGTTTGATAATGGACTCTTCAACCTAGGACAAGTACTACGAAAGATAAAGTGGGACAAATTCCAACTCAAAGTGTCAAGTGCAAATATTTAACTGTGAGGGTAATTCACCACTGAAACATCTTACCAAGTGTTGCAGGGATTCCCCAGCATTGGGAATAAACGACTTCCTAAAAGATGCATTCCAGTGCAAACAAGAACTAATTCAAGGAAGTCCCCTGGCCTGTGCTAGAGCCACACTAAATGAAAACAAAGGTTCTGTTTTGGCCTTATAATCTATGAATCCAGGAAAGTGAGAAAGCTCACATGCAGGTAGAGGAATAGAAGATTTGCCAGGGCAGAAGCATTGAGCTGATGCTCTCTGGGATATAGGTGAAGAAGTCCGAGTTGTCCAAGTCCTGAACTTCTGCCCTTCACTTGCCTAGGAACTTCCCCCCATTTATCGCAGTAAAAAGGATCTTCAAGATGACACCCTGGGAGAGCAGGAACTGAAGGGTATGCTCCATAAGAAGGTGAGGAGAGCTTCCATGGCAGCTAGATACAGCAGGAGAAACTACCACAAGCTGGAACCAGTTACAAGAAGTGAGAGATGAGATTAAACAGAGGATGGAGATAAGATAGCAATTATCCTGTCTCTGGTTTCTCATGTTTAAGTCCTGAAGCTTGTGTGCATTCATCCTTGAGGTTCCAAGAGTTGAGCCCACTAGAAAAAGTAATCTTTCCTCCAAAGCTGTACAGAAAACTTTTCTTTCTTTAGGCTACAATGTCTATTCCAAGCATGGGTCTCATCATGCCTCCAGCAGGGCACACTCTTACAACATGCTGCCCCATCTCCTGGTCAGAAGGAAATTATATACACTGTGGTATTTGGATAGAAATGGGATATCTGGAAGGGCAGTCAGAGGGTTGGCATGCTTTGCTGCATATTGCATACCCAGAATGCTTTTCCCAGCCCACAAATCTTACAGCAGAGGCTGCACATTGCTCTCCCAGGCTCAGGTCTGGCTGAACCTACACGTAAATGACGAGCCCAGTCCTGCGAGATCTGCCCGTGCAGACAGCTCTTCCTTTGAAGAATCAATGTGATCCCTGCACAAAACACGCACAACTGACATGCCAGGTCCAACTACCTTTTCTGTGCATTTAGAAAGGAAGAAGCCTGAAAAAGACTTCCCCAATTTCTGCCTGCAAATTGATGCAGAACAGTTGAACCTTCCTATCCTGCAGGCACTGACAGTGCAGTATACCTTGCTGTGTATTTTTCCTTGGGTTCATCATCAGCCTCATTGATTTGAAACTGGCTGGATTTGGGACTCCATCATCTTATTTTTATCTATTTGTACTGGACGAATGCTTTAAAAAAAAAAAATCTAGAAAGGGAGGCAAGCAGGCTGGCTTTTCTGTTATGATCAACTTCTATAACAGCCACCAAAATAACTCAGTGTTACTTTAGATGCAGCTTCCTTGATCATTTTATCACCATGCTGTTCCAATTATAAAAATCAGCCTCTGTCCCCAGCTCCAAAAGTCCTTTGACTTAATATATACAGGGTCAGCATATAGTAATCAGGCCACCTGACTATTTCAAATTCTGTATTAGTGGCATTTTTGTGTATGCAATAAGAGTATCAAATCAGAAATTCTTTTCAGTGCAATTTATTGAATGTTTGTAGTTCATTGAACCCTTTCGCTTGGTTACTGAATTCTCCTGTCAGATGCTATACGGGCACCAGCAATCCAATGTCTTTATCTGAAATCCGCAGGTCACTTATATACAGGGCTGACTTAAATCAGCACAAAAAGGTACTTTTGGCTTCACTCGGAGGCCTGAGAAGCCATTTGAGGTTTGAACTTTGGAAGGACTCAGCCTCACATCTGACCTGCACAGAACTGACTGGACAGAATCTGTAAAGGTCCAGATGCATTCAACCCTCTTCACCAGCTCCCTTGTTAATTTATTTTAACTGCAACCTCTGATTAGGCAACATTTGCATTTGCCAAGTGCAGAAGACTAAAGTTAAATTTCTGTTTATTTCTTCTTTTAATCTGTGTTAAAAAAAGATAAACTCTTTGAAATCATAACAGAAAGTCACTGAAAGTGCAGGAAGCGTGATGTACCAATAGCTTTCATTTTGTTTTGTTCTTTGCTGCCTTTGTGCGTAGGAGCAATGAAGTCACGAAGTCGGCACCAGAGCAACAGGTCAAGCGCTCCGAACTGAATGTCCTGTTCCAAACACCGAACCATGGCACTGGTATTACGTATCACCTTAATGTACCACATTATTCATGGTGCGCGGTTTCTCTTTTTTTCAAGCCAGGGCAGAAGCAGCAAATTAAGTGTCAGTCGTTAAAAACCAAACAGAAAGACGACATTATGTATGGGTTCCTCTGCAAGCAACTGTTTACTAGGTCAAGACTGGCACAGCCGCTTTAGTCATGCAAGCCCATGTGTGGTTACTCTAACCCACAGGTACATGACCTTCTGGTCCTACAGGCCAGATGAGCGACACTGGGCCAGTTTGACGGAAGTGGGGGGTGGAAATCAGTTCACGGCATCAGTCCGTGGGTGCAACCCTGCACGTCAATCCTGCCCCGTGCACTGGATCCAGCTGCAGAGCAACCCCCATGCACCAGCCACAGCAATTAAATGCTCCAACCACTCCCCTACCACCAAGTTTCTGGACCTGCCAGGAGTCCTGCAGGCCAGATGACAGCCCTGCAGGCCAGAGGCTGAACCAGTGCGCCAACCAATACCATCTGCTGACTGGCCAGCCCCCTGCAGCCCCTACCACTGCAGACAGATGACATTCTGACTAGAACCAGCTATTATTAGGATTTTATTTATATATGTAATTTTACACTTCTGAAATACATCGAGTCATAAAAGGTAAAACACAGATTAAATAAGAGACATAAGTAAATAAACAAAGAGGAAAACAAACAACAAAACATACCATATATTAAATTTTAAAAAACCTAACAAATAAATAAAACAAACAAACAAAAAAGCCAAGAACTTGTGCCACTTGACTTTACAAAAAGTTTGAAGCCCACTCCTCATGGCACAGCCTGTGATAAAAAGAGAAAGCTCTTACTGTGGGGAGCAGGTAGGGCTGGGGAGGAGGAGGATTTGACCGATTACAGGCTGGACGCATCCCTCAGGATGTTAGAGGATAAAAAATTATGGAGGAAGAGGTTTTGGTCCAAAGCATTTTTCATTTTACAAAATAAGAGGCTCTTGTTGAAAGGGAAACAGTCAGAAGTGTCAAATCTGACAAAAATTCCTGTTGAAAAGAAATTTTTCAAACCGGGAGTTATGTCATTTCAGAACAATGAGACTTCCACGATTGGGGTTGTTTTTTCATCGCTATACTACTTCCCCCCCCCATTCCAAGACATGCCATCAGTACATATTAAGACATATATCTTAAGCTGAAACAGCCCACTGTATTTTATTTTTACAGGTTTCCCTCACTTCATGCGGGTTCTGTATGTGCGAATTCACTCTTACGCAATGACCCTTTTTATACCAAAAATTTGTTATATGCAAAGTAAATTCACTTTTATGCGATCGGTGTGGTGGCAGCCCGCAGTCAGGCACTTTGTGCAGTGCATTGTGGGAGTGACACCCACCAAAAAAAAAATACATAGTCTCCTGTGTGGATATGTGCTCCCTCGCTCGTTGTCTGCAATGTTTCTGTAGTTGTCATCCCCATTATGGTAACATTCACCACAACCCTGTGCTTTGCTACTGCTGTTGGCGAGTAGCAAAACTGTCTTGTAAAAGTGGTAGAAGTGGGTCTGGGGGTCAGTACAGTAGAGGTCTTGGAACGTATTCCTATTTGTTGCATTGAAAAGTGGGTTCCTTTTATGGGAATTGGAGTTATGCGCTGTTTTCCAGGAACGTATGTACAGCATAAAGTGAGGGAAACCTGCATTTCCAAGTTCTGACCGGCTCAGGACAGGACACTAGGCCCCGAGTTAGGAGAGCTGGGTGGTTTGTTTTCTGCCTACAAAGTCAGGAGACCTCATGAATGAACAAGTCCTAGTGTAGACCCCGACCTCAGATTCAAATGTACGAGTCTTCAGGGATCTTTCTGGTCAGGGCATGGTCTGCACCCCTCAGGTGGGGCTCCAGCTGAGACTGACACTGAATATCACATGCCTGACTTAGCCCCAGTAAACTGGATCTTCCCATCTCTCTCCTTCGCACAGGAAGGAAAGGACTCCAACTGCTAGCATCAACCCTCCTCGTCCTGGCTGTTGGCTGGTGAAGCCACGCTCTTCTGAGCCTGCTGAAGGCTTCCACTGCAGAGGGCTGTGACCAATTGCTCAGACCTCCGTGGCAGTCTAAAACAGCCATCTATGCACATGAGAGATCTCTTATAAATAGTCCAAGAACTCTGGAGACAATGGCAAAAATGCCTCCCTTTCCCTTAGCACCAGTAGCAGTCTCTCCTACCTGGAGAGTACCCCACGCTATGCATCTGTGTCCCAAGGCAGAGGTGTCCAGGTGGTTTGGAGACTCGTCTCTGGTTAGGAGAGTCCTTTCCTGCCCGTGGCTGTGCCCGTCTTACTGGGTCCGTGTCCCACAGCAGGTGCCGAGGTGCTGCCGGCGACAAAGGCAGAGCTGGGACAACTCTCTTCTGCTCACGGCGGTGCCCTGGGCTGCCACACAGCGAGGGTGGAGAAGAAGCTGGAAGCGGAGGCCAACACAGAAGCATCTGTTCCCGCTTGCGTGGGGTTCCCTGCTGTACTGGATGGGCTCTGAGCAGTGATGGTGCAGCTGGAGCCGAGCGCCGGGCTGCTGAGTAAGCAGGGCAGGGCCGAATGCATCCTTCCCTGTCTGCCAGAGGGTCAGACTTTGAAGGGCTTATTCCCCACTGCGGTGATGCGACTGGCACCGAGGGTCGGGCTGGCTTAGGAGCGGCCCTAAGCAGACACTGTCTTTTCTTGCCTGCAGGTTGGCCTTGTTTTAAAGGGCTCACCCCCCACGGTGACGGTGTAGCTGAAGGCAGAGACCGGGCTGGCTTGTTAGCAGCCCTAAACCAGAAGAATCTTTTCCTGCCCACTGCAGGATCACCTAAGCACACAGTTAAAATTTGTATCAGGGATAAGTATTAAACCCTGCTCTGGAATCATAAAGACCCACGCCAAGATGGTCAAGAGTGACAAGCGACGTTAAGTCTTCTCAATGTTTATGAGGTGGACACCTTGACAACTAAGAAAGTGAGACCTCATTAAAGGTGTTTCAAGTCAGACACCCCCAAAAATAGCTGCCCCGCTTCCCCCAATCTGTTGCTGCTGAAAACATTGGCTCTGACTTTTAAACAGGAGACGACAGGCCTAGCACAAGCTCAGCTGAACAAAGCAAAAGGCATATATACTTGGTAGATCCCTCACAAAACTTGGTATCCTGGTCAGAGGGCAGATACCCAGTAGGTTAGAAGTGATGCTGGACCACAGCATCACTTCTGATTGCCTAATTTCACTGTTTCAATGTAAATGGAGTCTCTTGAGTCATCACTACAATGGGTTGGATAACTGACATCTGAGGTTTTGACCATAAAAGATAGGAAGTGTTTTCAGCTTTAGATGTTTGTCAACTTGGACTGGGTTTGGTCAAGAGAACCTCAAATAAACCCTTCTAAAAACACAAGGGATTGGAAGAATTGGGATTGAAGCAATGCAGCAGGATTTGGTCCAACGCAGCACTGCTCTCCTGAGCTTGCCATGCACTGCAGCGTAGCAAATACAGAGAGAGAACAATGCACCGAGGACATTTTCACTATAACTTTGTTAGTTTACATCTTGTCTTGTGCATGCAGGTAAGAGAGAAGATTACAAAATAACCCTATTCTTCACCTACAAGCAATTGTAATCATCAGTTATTTCTGAGAAAGACACCAGCTGAACGCATGTAAAAGCTATTTGCTTCTGCTTTAGACCCTTAAATGGGCCAAGAAAATCTACCCTTTGAAGATGATTCAACCAAGTCAAACACATTTCAGCTGCAAACCTGAAAACTTTGGATACAACCGTGTAGTGAATCTTGAGTTGATGCCCAAGTAATCACAAAGAATACAAAGACAGCATTTTTCCCCCACTCCTCTCTTTTCCAAAACAGCAGTGAAGGAAAGGTATATCATGGAACATTATTTTTAAAAAACAAAACAAAACACATCACTTACATTTTTTCATTGAGGCACTTGGATCCAAGAATGGGTGATGGAAAAACTCATCTGAAAAAAAAGAGAGGAATAAAAGTTCAATGAAAATAAAATATCATGTGCCCAAACTATTTTTGAAATCCGTGCAAATTATTCAGTGTTTCTAGAGCAGTTTCCTGGTGTAATCCATAGTCAAATTCCCTGAATCGGAGAACATCCATGTTCAGCAACTGTATTTAATACTGTTTTAAGGAGCTGACTTTGGTTGAGGGTCAGTTCAATCTATTGCGTGCTGTGAAGTTATCTGGGTCTGCAATGTCCATGGTCTTTTCCATTCACCTAGGCTAAACCAGATTCCTGGACTATCAGGTGGGTATTATCCAACACATCCAGAATGGCACTTTTGTGAAGGAAACAAAGGAGATAGCAAGGGACCAAGGGGAGAAAATGCCCCTGCCAAATCCATGACAAAGGGAGAATTATTCTGATTCCTTTGGTGGTTTGCTGTCATAGGGCAACTCTTTCTCCAAGGCACTGGAGGAATACTAATGGTCCTCTCTCCCATCTCTCCAGGACAGGAGAGAGATGGACCACTTCACTGAATGCTTCAGTGCTACAATGCCTGGGAGCACTCTATCAGAACCTGCTGTCTGCAGCAAAAAAAATAGAAGAGGAGATTATTTGGGGCATACAACCCTAGTCTAACACAACCCTCCAGCTGCCAGGTTCCAGATGGCTTCCCCCAGTGCAGCAAACTCTTCTGCAATGCCAGCCGGGGACTGGGAATTATCCTTTTGAAGGGTGCCATGGAGAAGACCAGGGCACATATCAGAAAGTGGGACATGTGTGCATCTGCACATGCTTGGAATTTAGGGGACAAATGGTGGAGGACTGTATTAAATAGAGGGGAAAACCCAGGAAGGAAAAAGACAGATCTCCCAATTACTCAGGGATTGCAAACTAGCATCATCTAAGAGCTCCAAGATGGCACAAAGCAGCATCTGTGCAGCATGAGTCCATGCTCTTTTCATAAATGCACTATAAATATTCATGGAGGAGTGCTCTCCATGTCTCAAACCTGCAGCCTCAGGAGATCCCCACTGTCTGGATGGTTAAACTCAGTGATTCTCAACCAGGATGTCTTGGCATCCTTTCAAGGGTGTCAAAAAGGTACCACACAATGTTTGCACACCTAACCAAGCCAACATGATTCACAAGATAGACCCAAGTTTCTAAAAGGGGATCCATACTGTTAAAAACCATTCTGACCTGGGCTGATCTTTCCAAGTTCTTTGCAACAGAAGAATTGCTCTATTATTTTTCTGTGCCAAGAATTGAATGGGGGAAAAAAAAAAAAGTTAAGAGCTGGGATTTTCTAAGGGGTGCCTCAAATCCAGGAGTGCCTTGAATCCAAGGAGGCATGCCTTGAGCCTAAGAAGGTTGAGAACCACTGGCTAAACCAGTATTACAGCTAAGGGGAACACTTAAATTCTCCAGACACCAAAAGACATACGCACAATGCTCTAGATTCTCCTTAACACCACAGGCGGGTATCCAAGTCTCATCTTCTCATTTAGGCCCTTGGAAAGTGTGCAGAGCTCCTGGTCTACCTCAAATACTTTCCAGCATATTTTTTTCAGCCCTCCTTTCTAGAATCACACTCTCTGGTTCCATGCAGAGCCGCCCGCTCGTATCTTGGCCAACAGCTATCGTCTTTCAGCATTAGTCACTGACCAGCACCGATAGTTTGACTAACAATAGGTGGTTCAACTTGTTTTCTCAGCAAAGATTTCCTGTTGCATCATCCAGGATTTTTATAAGCTTTGGTGTTTTTTTTGTTTTGTTTTTATTATTATTATTGTATCATCATTAAAGGGCAGCCATTCTGGGAAACACTCAACTTCGAGTCTTGCATAGTTTCTGTGAAACGATCATGAAATTAAGAGGTGAAGAGGCTCTAGGCCTCTTGGTTGATGTTCTACCTACCAAGCACCCCATCCTGCTGTTCTAGGAACCTGTTGTAGCCCCTTCAAGGCCCATCCTTACACTTTAAGACACGTGAAAAATAGATCAGCAAGCTTATCTGCACAGAGACACCCAGGGTGTGAATGGAATTAACCTACCTCAGTTTTCATGGAGAAGCTCTTGGCTAATTAATTCTATGTACAAACACTAGACCATATTTTACATGCAAAACCAACATTTTCAAAGACACTGTGACTACCTAAAAGCCAGAGGCAGATCTTTCAAATGGAGCAGGGAAAATTAGTCTGGAGAACACCAAAAAGCTAGCTTTGCTTATGGCTATGGATAACAGGACAATGACACCGCTCTACCTGGACTAACCCACAGGGCTAACCTATTGTAGGAATATGGCCAGGTTTTCAGCTGCTGCAAATTGACAATGACACTGAGTTTCATCAGCTTATACCATATGACAGTACATGAGAAATCTTTCTATGTCCACTAAGCACTTCTATTATTTTAACAATTGGCAATTATTTGCACTGAACTCCGTAACTGAGTGTCTATCTTGGGAAAAGATGCAGAAGCCTTCCCTTTTGCATCCCTCACTCCTGTAACAAAGAAGGGGGATAATAGGTGCTGAGAGAGAAAGGGGGGGGGGGGGA